GGCGTCGCCGGCTCCGGCTCCTCCGTCATCCGGGCGGCGGGATGTGTGTGCCGACGGGGACGCCCGCTGCGCGCTGCTGTGGGGCGGCGTCGTCGGGGTCCTGGGCACCGGGCCCGGGCAGTGGAGGCTTCTCGGCGGGGGGGGGCGCAGAGCGGCGCAGTAGGTGGGAGCTCTGTCGGTGACCGGGACGGACTTTTAAAGCGAATTGCGATTCCCCGTCCAGGCTGCTGGACGTGACGTCCGGTTTAAAAACGGACTTTTTCGTTTAAAAAAGGGGGTGGGAAGGTGACTTTTAAAAAACTGCCCAGACTGTAAAGGTTATAAGAACTTTAAAAACTAGCTGGGGGTGGCCCTGCTGGAGCAAGGGATCGGGCTAGATGAGCGCTCGGTCCAGCCCTGGTCTGCGGTGATTCTGTGCGGAGGTCTCTACTTCAGCTCCCCTCGCAGGCGTGAATACGGGCTTTATGCTATACAAGGACTTGATCTGATTTGATAGGAGGCTTTTCATCATGGGCAGAATCCTCATCTTCAGAGTGGGAAATGTCATTTGTGGAGATTCCTGAACTGCTTGTGTGTGCACAGGTGTACACGCATACCAGTGTATCCCTGTATAAAGTTATAATATCGTGTGCGCAGGTGCATACATATCTGTGACGGTAAGAGAGGGGGAGGGCGATGCATAGATTTATATAGCTATATCACACTATTATATCTATGACTTGGAGAGAGAGAGGGAGACTTATGTAGATTTATATATAGCTATCACTCATACACACATTTCTATATTCTATGGAATATATATCTTTTATATTACATATTCTGTTTTAAAATATTTTGAGGTCCCTAGTGATGCTAGCTACTAAGTGAGACCAGCTTTTATCAAGGACTTAAGAGTGGATGTCTTTTCTTTTCCCCCTTTCCCTTAGTACGTTAACCTGAAACAGTTAATAGTAACAACATCTGCACTTACTATCAGAATATATGTGGTTGTATGGTGTTGGGTACTAGTAATTTGATCCAAGCCATCAGTCAACTTGCATTTTTTTTCCTCTTTGTAACATACTGCATGAGCTATTCAAAATTGTTCAAGGTGTTCAACTACAGTGCTGGCTTCTGGTAAATTCAGAGAGAGGAAAAACACAGCTAGTTTCACTGTAGTGCCTGGGAAATCACTCTTTTGAATAGATCTGTAAGCTGTCATCATCACACTGCATCATGAAAATGTACTTTGTTCATTTACTTGGACAACTGCAGGCTTTTTTTTTCTAATCCAGGTATTCTACTTAGCGTACATACTGTCAGTAATAGCTTAAACAGGAAGCCCCACTAAAGCTTTTCTGTAACAGAGAAACCCTTAAAAATTCTCCAAGTTCAACTGGATGTATACATATCTAAACTTCTTTCTTTCTTCTGGATTCTTTGGGTCAGAGGCATTGTCTTTGCATTTGTTGCATGTGTTTAGTATAAGACTAATAATAATTTGAACGTTTTGCTACTGAGAATTTGCTAGTAAATTAAATGCAACCAGCCGGCTTTTTGGTGAAGAGAAGAATCTTGATTTTGCAGATCAACAAAATAATAATAACTGCTTCTACTGAATGAGCACTTTGCAAAAAAGTAGAGAAGTGATATAAGAATAAGCCTAGCGGCTCTGTCCTATTGCTGCTGTACCCCTACTAGAGTGCAGTTTCTGTAATGTTTTCCTACTTCCTGCAGTTTGGTCAAGCAGAAAATAAACTAACTGTTCTGAGGCGTTTTACATACACAATAGCAGACTTATTTCCAAACTTTGCCTATAAGATTCAGTATTTTATGCACACATATCTGTGCCAATAAACTCTTCGAAACCTAAAACTCATTGCAAGTCAATTGTCAAAAAAACCACACATTTTACTGTCTTTTATAAATATGTTCTCATTTTCCTAAAAGAACCTGCAGTTCTGTGAAGGGATTGAGTTACTGCCAAACCCTACACTTTTGTTGATAGCTCTAAAGATAATTCTTTCTACACTCCTTTTAGAGGAGGTAGGTTACCTTTAGGGCAATTGTGCATTTTATTTGGGTGTTGCAATGAGAATGGAGCCTTACAAAAACATGTAATTTTTGAGCTTGCTGGATTTCACGTTGGCAGCTGTTTAGTTTTAGTTCTGAATTTTTTATTTTTTTTTGGCTGTTAGAGTTAATTTTTTTTCCTATGAGCCTTGCACTGGGGGAGGGGAGGTGTGGGTAGCCCAGTGGTCTGAACCTCAAGTTTTAAATACCAAGGAAAGTTGACCCAACCCTTCAGTTGTGAGAAGAGATTGGTGCAGGTTACTATTGTTGAGTCTTTCCTATAAAAACCTCTTGCTATCTTCCCTGTGTGGATACTTAAAAATCCTTTGTCACTCTCCGTAAGTGTTGGTGTCTGCCTATCTCCTTGGAGGAAAAATTAGCCTTGTCCCTCTGTTGTGCAATCTGCTATGCATGAATCTGTAGCTCTCTTCCCTTGGAGGTGTCTGTTTATCTGCCCTTTTCATGTGGAAGACTTGCAAATCAGTTCGCAATTCATGGTTGGGTCTGGCATTGCTGAGTCCCTTGAGTGGTCCTTAACTCCTGCAAGTTGTCCCATTGAATTGTCCCAATGAGGCCAGCTGTGTGACATGGAGTTTTCAGGATCAAGCCCATAGTTTGCAAAGTGCTTTGCAATCCTTTTGGAAGGGAAAGGTTATAAATGTAGAGTATTTAGCTGATTACAGTGTTGCTCTCTTTGGTATTTCTAGCCAGTTCAATCTGTGAATAGTCCTAGAGGTGCAATAGATAAAAAGATGTTCATTTTTTGTAGGGGTGTTTTAACTTTATTTTAAGAGTTGATGGTATCTATTTCTCTTGACATCTTAAAAACAAAAGAACTCAAAGTGTGTAGTAAACATCAGCTAAGGCTCTGTGCACACTGGGGAGAAAACTGTGTCTGAACTGGTTTTAAACTAGTTCAAGCTAACATGGTTTAAACACTATTTACCGGGCCATTGTGGAGGGAGCATAAATTTTACAAACTGAGTTTTAAATACGTTAACTTGTCTAGGCTGGTAAAACTGTTTGCTGCAAACACCAGTTCTCCCTACGTCCACTTATGTACTTGGGATCTAAGCCTCATGTTTGAGTTCTTGGAATTTTTTCCTTTGCAAGGAAAGCAAAATGCTTGGAAAACAGTTAGGTTTGTCCCAATCAGGTATTTATGCTAGAAAAAAATCTTTCCGAAGTGTGTGTTATCTTTCCTGGGAGCCCCCTCAAACAGGTCTCAAAATACGATGTCATGGATTATCTGAGGTAAACACACAATAAGCAGTTTGGCTTCTATTGCCAGAAAATGGCACTGCCCTGTTGATTTATAGTCCCCTTTGGCCACATTCCATGTATAGTCTACAGCTAATCAGCAACTTTTAATAACTTTCAGGTATACTCTGAGGATTAAGGAAAGTGTCTTCTGGGGGAGTTCTAAGATACAGAGAAGTGGATTTAACACTATTGTGTAACATGACTGTGGATTTTGTTAATCCACACTCGGTGGTTTTGCATGAAAAAGCCTGAAGGAGTTGGTGTGCAGACAGAGCCTGAATATATTCATCCCAAGTTGCTGCTGTGTGCTTTCCTTTTAGTAAAGGATTTAAATAGTATTATGCATCTTAGACTACTAACTTCAGAGTACTTTGCCATGCCATGTTGGGTTAGCAGCCTTAAACAGCTTGGTGATCTGACCATTGAGTTCAGTAAAACCACCCCTGATTCTCCCTGACACAAGTAAATATCAGAATGAGGTGTCTAGTTTTTATATGCTGAGTAACTACTGCAACACACAAAATCAGAATGTAAACACAGAGTCAGCTTCATGGTTTTTACTGAAGCATAACAGAAGTTGGGAAACATGCATATTATATGTTTTTGATGTATTGTAACAAAGTT